TGCGAGAATTTGAGGATGTTATGCCCATGGATCTGCCCAAGAGACTCCCACTTAGGAGAGAAGTGGATCATGCTATAGAGCTGAAACTAGGTGCTAAATCTCCAGCTATGGTACCTTATCAAATGGTACCCCCGGAACTTGAGGAATTGCGAAAGCAAATGAAGGAACTACTAAATGCAGGGTACATTCGTCCTTCCAAGGCACCCTATGGTGCCCCAGTACTATTTCAAAGGAACCAAGATGGGAGCCTTCGAATGTGTATAGATTATCGAGCGCTGAACAAAGTAACTATTAAGAACAAGTATCCTATCCGCTTGGTGAATGACTTGTTTGATCGGTTGGGCAAGGTACAGTGGTTTACAAAGCTGGACTTGAGATCGGGCTACTGGCAAGTGCGCATTGCCGAAGGTGATGAGGCTAAGACGATGTGTGTGACCAGGTATGGCTCGTTCGAATTCCTAGTCATGCCATTCGGTCTTACTAATGCGCCGCAACATTCTGCACCCTCATGAACAAAATTTTTCACCCATTCTTGGATAAATTCGTGGTGGTATACTTGGATGACATAGTAGTCTACAGTGAAAGCTTGGACGACCATGTCCAACATTTAAGGGAAGTGTTCCAAGTATTGCGAGAAAATGAGCTATATGTGAAGAGGGAGAAATGCTCATTCGTGCAATAGGAGGTGATGTTCTTGGGGCACAAGATTGCTGGTGGGAAGATCAGCATGGATATGGCCAAGATACGTGCTATTATTGAGTGGGAACCTCCCACAATGGTAACGGGATTGCGATCATTCCTTGGTCTAGTTAATTATTATCGAAAATTTATCCAAAGGTACTCTAGAAGGGCGACACCCTTGACTAACTTGCTTAAGAAGAATGTCCCTTGGGCGTGGGATGATGAATGTCAATGGGCTTTTGAAGACCTTAAGCAAGCTGTTGCAGCCGAACCAGTGCTAGCGCTGCCGACTACTCTAAGCCCTTCGAAGTTCACACAGACGCATCAGAATTCGCCAATGAGGGAGTGCTAATGCAAGAAAAGCACCTTATAGCTTACGAGAGTCGCAAGCTAAATGATACGGAGAAGCGATATCCGATACATGACAAAGAGATGACTGCCATCATTCACTGCTTGCGGGTATGGAGGCATTACTTACTTGGGAGTAGGTTTGTAATGAAGACAGACAATGTTGCCACGAGTTACTTCCAGAAGCAAAAGAAGCTCACCCCCAAACAAGCAAGATGGCAAGACTTCTTGGCCGAGTTTGATTACGAGCTTGTGTATAAGCCGGGCAAGACCAATGTGGTTGCGGATGCGTTAAGTCGCAAGGCAGAATTTGCTTCCATCACTAGTGTAGAAAGCAACCTACTCGAGCGGGTCAAAGAAGGCATGGTTCATGATGATTTTACTAAGAATCTACTACAATTATGTAAGGAAAGCAAGATGAGGCGATTTTGGGAGCAAGATGGGTTAGTATACACTATTGGGAATCGTCTCTTTATTCCGCGATGGGGAAACTTGCGGCAAGAATTGACTCAATGTGGGCTGGTCATCTGGGTATCCAAAGGACCATGGCATTGATTGAAAGATCGTACTATTGGCCAAGAATGGAGGATGGCATTGAAGCATATGTAAAGACTTGTCTTGTGTGCCAGCAAGACAAGGTGGAGCAAAGAAGGCCCGCAGGATTGCTAGAACCATTGCCTACACCAGAGAGGCCATGGGACAGCCTTACAATGGACTTCATCTCGACGTTACCTAAGTCGGAGGGATGTGGTTCCATCATGGTCGTGGTGGATAGATTATTTAAATATGGAACATTCATTCCTGCCCCGCGAGATTGCAAAGCGGAAGAAGCCGCACGCTTGTTCTTCAAGCATGTGGTAAAGTATTGGGGCCTTCCAAGAATCATTATAAGTGATCGAGAGCCGCGTTTCATGGGGAAGTTTTGGAGATAGTTGTTTAAGATGATGGGATCAGACCTCCACTTATCTACATCATTCCATCCGCAAACGGACTGACAGACGGAAAGGATCAATGCATTATTGAAATTATATCTACGACACTTTGTGAGCGTCAATCAGCCGGATTGGACAAAGTTGTTGGATGTGGCACAGTTTTTCTACAACATGCAGCATAGTGAAACAACGCAATAGAGTCCCTTTGAGATAGTGATGGGTCAACAACCCCTAACGCCTCATGCCATAGCAGCGGGATATACAGGTTCAAGTCCTTCGGCATATAATGGGCAAAGGGTTGGCATGAGCAAGGGTTTACTTGGATAAGGCCTCGAAGAAAATGAAAAAGTGGGCTGATATGAGAAGAAGGCCTTTGGAGTTCCAAGTCAATAACTTTGTGATGGTTAAGATGCCGCCCTAACAATTCAAAGCCTATCATCAAGTGCACAAAGGGCTAGTGCGACGTTATGAAGGTCCCTTTCTAATCGTTAAGAAGGTTGGAAATGTCTCATATCAAGTGGAATTACCTCCACAACTGAAGGTTCATCCTGTCTTCCATGTAAGCGTGCTAAAGCCTTATCATGGGGACAAGGATGACCCAAGTAGAGGAGAGTCACACCATGCGCCGCCCATCATGATTACTTCGTGCAACCGTGAAGTAGAAGAAATATTGGCAAGTAGGATCATTCGGCAGCGGGGTGTTCCTAATCATATGGAGTTCCTAGTAAAATGGAAAGGCTTGCCTGATGACGAGGTAAGTTGGGAAAAGGAAACGGACTTATGGAAATTTAAGGAGGTTATCGACACCTATAAAAATAAGCATCTTGACGAAGGCGTCAAGGACTTTGGTAGGGGAGAGTGTGAGCATACAAGAGTAGGACGTGAAAAATTGGCTAAGAAATCCAATAGAAAGGGAAAAAGCTAAAAGTGCCTATGCAGAAGTTTCTAGAAGCTTGCGGAGAGGGCTGGAACTTTTCGGTAACTTAAGGAAATATTTAGCAACTTCAAATGGGTAAGAAATCTCCCCAACATTCTAGAAGTACCTAGAGAATGTACCTAAGGCATGAGAAGATTCTAGAACATCCTAAACATAGTTGTATGCTTGAGAATTGTATAGAGAATTCTAGAATCTCCACCACATATTAAGGAGGTGGGATGCCTATAAATACCCACCTAGGCCATTTGTAATGGACATACATACATACATACATAGAAAAAGTGCTCTAGTGCTCTAGTGTGCTCATTTGTACTCTTACTTGTACATATCATTTGTACATAATGAAAACCTCTCTTTGAGCGTTCCAAAGCTCTTGTACATTGTGAGAAAGTGTGCCTACTTAAGCTTCCGTTGTGTGGAAAGGCTGACTTAGTTGGATTTTGGGGAAAACAATCGACTAAGTGCCGCATGAGGACAAGCTAAAGTTCTTGTATCGTGACACTGGGCCTTAAATGTTCAGTGACAATTGCCTGCTGAATTAATTGATTACTTTAATCATAATATGCCCAATAACAAAACAATTAAGAAAAGTTCAGAAGAAATAATTGAATTCTGGCGAAGGTACGAATGCTAATGGCCAGTGGTTTTTGCGATGGCAAAAGACCTACTAACACTTCCGGTTAGCACCGTAGTTTCGGAGTCTCCTTTTAGTGCAGGTAAGAGGGTTCTCTCCGAGGTCAAGAGTTGAGTAGGATATTTTTCAACAGCTTTCACAACAGCCATTCAACAGCCCCCCTCTCTCTTTGGTATCAGAGCGTGTGTTCCGATTTTGGTATTTTAAGTTTCACCTCAACAGATTACGCTACAAAGGTATAATTTTAAGATTTTATGATTTTTAGAATTTTACTTATTAATCTAGTAAAAAACTTCTATAGTTTTAATTTTTATCAAGAAATAGAAGATATTTTAAATTACGGAATAGAATTTA